TCAGAGGCTATAAATTTAGCATCTGGATCTCACCACGATTCCTTTCTAGTAAGCCACAGCTCCCGACCCCCAGAGGAGACTTAGCAGTCCAGGCAGTATTGTTCTGTTACCACCTACTGGGTCCATATTATTTGCAGACTAGTTAACATAGCCACAGAAGGGTGAATACATTTTACCTCACTCCCTGTTCCTGGCTGTGTAGTGGTAGTTGCGAACAGAGAGAATTTAGGGTCGGACTGCTTTGAAGACATTTTAGAAATTATCAGAAGCCAGATGAAGAGAAAAGTTTACATTCCTACGACTTTACCTCCCAAAGAAAGGTGGAGGCTGGTTGGTCTGAAAGTTTTTGATTCATTTTGTTACATGTGTGTCTTTTATATGTATGTATGTATGTATGTGTGCACATAGAAGTTGGAAGTGTTCTCCTTTGCCGTTTTCTTTTCTTGTTATTTATTTGAGACAGAGTTTCTCATCAAATTGGGAGCTCATGGATTAACTAGGTTGGGTGACCAGCAAGCCCCTGAGATTCCCTGATTCTGTCTCCCCAACACTGGGAATCTAGACCCATCAGGCAGCACCCAGATGCTCATGTGAGTTTTGGGAATTTGAACTCAGATCCTTGTGCTTGAAAGCAAGCACATTATTGACAGAGCCATTTTCCCAGGCCCTGTTTTATTTTGTTTGAGATCGGGTCTCACTATGTGTGACTGGCATTGAACTTACTATGTAACCCAGTCTGGCTTTGAACTTGGGATCCCCCTGCTTCGACCTCCTGATTGCTGGGAGGAGTGCTTTTATTTGCTAGCTGGCAAAATTTAATTAAGGGTAGTTTAAGGAGTGTTTCTTTCTTTGTCATTTATTTATTTATTCATTCATTTTTACATTTTCTGAGACAGGATAGTCTCTGTATAGCTCTAGCTGTCCTAGAAATTTTAAGGAATTTCATTCCTTCATTAAATTAAAAACATTTGCTGAACATTTTCTGGATACCAAACACACATTGGAAAGATATTTTCATGAATGTGCTCTCGTAGACTCAACAATTGAGTTAAGTTAGATGTTTAGTTAAGGACGGACAGTGACTTGAACCTGGATTGTGAGTGCTACTGCCTCAGGACAGCTGTCTAACAAGTAATGACTAAAATGATTACTTTTTAAATATATATACAAATAGAAACATTTTACCCAGAAAATAGTTTGTCCTTTTAGATGCTTGTTTCTTCAGTTATTAGCCTCAGAATTAATTTTCTTGAGCAGTAGCTTTTTTGCTCACTTACTTACGGGCCTGTTGTCGTGTGTGTTGAGTATGTCTGCAGAGCTGCTTGTGGAAACACACTTCTGTGCAACAGCACAAGGGTGGTGCTGAGGACAACTTGCAGGAGTCAGTTGTCTCCTTCTGTCACAAGGTTCCAGGAAGTAAACTCAGGTCCACATGTTTGGCAGCAAGTATCTTTACTGGCTGAGCCAACTCACTGACCCTGTAACCTTTCCTCAAAGCCTCAGTTTACTCTGTAAAGTAACAGTATCTGTCTCAGAGGGTCATTGAAGGATAAAGTTAAATTATTCATTTAAAATACTTCACCACTGTGGGGCACATAATGAGTCAATTAAACTTTGTTGCTACAATTTCTTTTATTTAGTTTTAATAGTAGCTGTTTAGCATATCTGTATATAGAGGAACATAGATGTAAATGAGATATTAGCATTGTAACCAAAATTTTCTCCACCAAGATGTATTGAAGGTAAAGTTGGCTTCTGAGATTAGATAATTCTTTCTGCAAATTTATCAGTGGGTCTGTAGGATGAACAGCAAGGAAACAATTTAGGAGTCCTGATCTTTTTGCCCAGAAAAATGGACATTTCCTAACATGATACAGTTACCCAGAATATTCTTGGGTTTAGTTTAGTTATGTTTTGGTTTTTTTAGTAAACAAAATTTCAAGTTTCTGTTTTCAACTATATAAAAATAAACAAATAGCTGGTTTTGAGGACTATGAAATTATTGTTTCTATGCTTTATGGTGGTGGTGCATGCCTTTGGTCCTAGCACTCAGGAGGCAGAGACAGACAGCTCTCTGTGAGTTCGAGGCCAGCCTGGTCTACCGAGTTCTAGGACAGCCAAGGCTACATAGAAAAAAAATAAAACAAAACAAAAAAAACTCAAACAATAGCAACAACAACAAAAATCATGAACACAAAAAGTTTAAAATGTGTCATTCCTTAGAGTCTAAGAAAAATTGTGTAAACATTTTAGAATTGATTTTTTATAAATTCACTTAACAAAGGCCTACACAGATCCACAGGGGTGTTCTGAGATTAGTTTCTGTCAACACAGTGCTAAAACTTTTGGGGAATTCTAATCTTCCACCAGGGCTGGATCTGCTGCTACAGGATAGTAATGTCAGTATTCAGAGAGGAGTTCAAGGGCTGTCTGTGCTTTATGAGCCTCAGAAGTCATTTGACAGATAAGGTTAGTTAATTGAGATGTCTGACCTGGTAGCTAGCTGTGCACGTGGACTTTGCCTGGATGTATCTTCTAGTAGTTTGGCAGTAATAGAGATTTATGATGAGACTAGCAGAAACAATACATTAACTTGTGTTTAATTAAACCCTGTATCTCAAGGCAATACTAGCCAATGAACACATGAGAAGGATCATCAAGGGGACCATGAGTCCTTATCATCAAATGCATTTATGCCTTCCATTGCTGTGAACAGACACCATGACCAAGGCAACTCTTATAAAAGACAACATTTAATTGGGACTGGCTTACAGGTTCAGAGGTTCAGTCCATTATGATCAAGGCAAGAAGCATGGCAGCACCAAGGCAGGCATGGCACTGGAGGAGCTGGGAGTTCTATATCTTGTTCCAAAGGCAATCAGAAGAAGATTGCAGTCTTCCAGAATGCTAGGAGGAGGGTCTCTAAGCCTACACCCATGGTGACATAAAACAACAAGGCTATACTTCCACAAAGTGTCACTCCCTGGGTCAAGCATATTCAAATGACCACATATATTATGACTTCATTATGGTGATGATTCAACCTAGGCCCTTACCAGTGCTAGGGAAGCTCTCTAGCCCCTGAGTTGTATTGACAGCCTTGTAGAGGTAACACTTGGTTCCATATGGGCCTCTTCTCTGGTCAAGAACTTTATTTTCTCTTTCTCTAAGTTTCTTCTTCCTGGGGCCCTACTTCATGACCTCACCTACACCAATTCACCTCCTCCAACTCCTCCAAATACCCCCTCATTGGGGGCTAGTGTTTCAGAGTAGAATTGGAGGTGGAAGGGTGTCATTCAACACGTAGCCAGTGCTCTCTTGGGCCTTGCACTGGAAGTATGATATCTGTCTTCCCATGGGAGACATACAATAAATGAAGCAATGAACAAAATCAGTTCGCCCCGGAATGAAATAGTGGGAGAATCGAGCAAGGAAGGGAGATGGAGCATGAGGAAATGAATGCTATGGAGACCACAAGGCCCTTTTGGTCAGGGAATGGTATTCTATGGTTGGAGGAAGATGAAGGAGCCAAGCTCATCAAGACAAGCCAGAGGAAGAACATTCCAGATATGAAGGACAGCAATAGCTAGGCCCTGGGGTGGGATGTTCTAGGATCAGATATAGGACTGATGTGATTTGACAGAACTTTAGGATGAACAACACAAGAGGGAACTATGGTAGCCAAGGGCTTGATATCCATAGTGTTCTCTCTCTCTCTCTCTCTCTCTCTCTCTCTCTCTCTCTCTCTCTCT